ACTTTTTTAAGAATTAACACCTGTTTGAAAATGAAATTTTGCTCACAGATGGTTTATGACCTGGATTGAAAAATAGGCTACTTCCTTAACCGGTTTCCCGATCAGAACTAAATTTGGTAAACTTACTACGGATTTCGCAAGGATGGTCTTAGACTGAAAGTAATTCGATAACTCAAGGCCCCTCCCATACAAATTGGAATTTTCATATTACATACATATTTCTGGAAGTATTTGTGGGAAAGAACTAAAACTTGTATAGAGCATATCTTTGGCAATAATCGATTAATTTTTTAATCATTAGTTAATTCGATTAAATTCAATCTGATTACAGTTAATCATGATTAATTTTAATCTGACGAAACAGTTAATCGTAACCGCCTTAATTTAAGCCTAAGTGGAAGGTTCAATCACCTTTTGTTTCATTGATAGAGCTTCTCAAATATTGCAAAAAAGCGATTTTTTGACACTTTCACCACATTTCTCTCAAAATCTGGAGCTGATGGAATCTTTATACTTACGTATTCTCAATTAACACAAAAAAGCCTATCAACCGCTTCAACATTTGCCGCATCAAAATCGGTGTTGGCCTGTGTTACCTACACTAATTATATAAAGAAAAGCTCCTTCTTTTTATAAGAGGTGATCTCGCGAACGGCTGAATCGATTTTTTGAAATTTTGGACACCTACTGCAGACTTTCGATATGATTAAAGGAGCGTGGCATCACCCATACATATCGAATTTTTCATACCGTATATCTCTGAAAGTATTTGTGGTAGTGTCCTGGAAATTGGTATAGAGATTTTGGGGCTACTGGAAAAGGGACGTGGCGCTTTCCAAACATTTTGAAACTTTTATCTATCTGTAAATATATACACCCATAATACAGTGTTCTGTTCTTTTTCATAATACATTTTTTTGTTAATTTTTATAGAAATGTAGTTCATTTTGTATCAAATGGCACCAAATTTTGAGTATGCAGTTTTGTAGTTCACTCAATTTCAGTATCATAAAGTGCAAGTTTTTAATGGCTGTGAGATACCGTTGATTTTTGAGAATTTTTTCGCTGATGATGTTGCGCATTTTCTCCGTATAACGAATGCGTGAGAGTTTTTATGTATGGAAAAAATGCCGAAGAGTGTCAGTATGTAAAAGACTTAATCTGGTGGCTTAACTCCTCCTAAACGACCGAAACGATTTTAATGATAATTTTTTAATGATACTTTTTAGTGGCGCTGGAGCCGAGTTATTGCTAAAAATCATCGATTCGCAGGCTCCAGATATCAAAGTCAAATTACTCCCGTTAAATCAACCATCAGAGCCATTGTGATCCTTGCCTTACGGTGACTATACAGAATGTGGACCAATGATTCTCACCAGTTTGGAAACTGCCACCAACTATACTATACATATTCAAACGACGATTCACTATCGAGCCGCAATGACTTCTTCCCGATATAATGCTTTCGTCAGGTTATTTAAGACGGCAATGGAGAATAGAAGGCATATCCACAAAACCAAACGTGTACGTGAATTGCTGGCGATAACGTTGGACCAAATGTTTCAATAAAAAAAATTAATTTTGGGCGGGACGAAGTTCGCCGGGTCTGCTAGTTTAACCATAAAAATTATACCAAGCATTTCCCTGCGACTGGCAAGTGTAGGAAGGTTAATAAGTTTTAAGCGACTCGTATAAGGTGGAAGACTATATTGAGAATCCCATCGGAAATTTCTTAAAGCAAAAAGTAGGAATTGTTTTTGAATTGATTCTATCTTGTCTGAGTAAATTTGATACCTTGGATTCCAAACCACCGAGCCGTATTCCAGAATCGGCCTAACTAATGTTGTAAACAGGGTTTTAGTGATATAAGGGTCACTAAATTCTTTTGACCATCGTTTCACAAATGCAAGTACACCTTTAGCCTTGTTGACTGTCACATTAATGTGAAGATTAAAATTAAGCTTAGGATCCATTGTGATACCAAGGTCCATAAAATTGTATACCTGTTCCAGGTTATGGTTACCTATTATATAATACAACACACACAACAATTAGGAGCTGATGTATTTAGCTTAAAAATATATGTAGCGAACAGTTTGAGTATCACTGTAATGTGACACTTAATAAACGCAGCGCAAACAGCTGTGACAAGAAATACTAAACGAAGTAAACAAAAAGAGCAAAAAGAAATGTGCAAAAATAGAAACGATCTCAGTTAACTACAAAGGAATAACAACAACAATGATAACAACAAATGACTCGGCAAGATTAGATGTAAGCTAGTGAAATTTAATTAAATTTAATAAAAACCACAAAAATCACAAAACTTTCACTTAGCTTAGGTTATTATCACACTAAGATGCTCGTAGGCACTTTTTATAGCAACTTTTACTCAAAATTAGCACAATAAACTTTGCAAAATACAAAGACCAATCAAGGCACAAATAAGTAGAACTTCACAGCTTGACGTTTGCGGTATGACGTTTAAGTGTTTATAATTAAAAAAATTAAAAACCAAATTAAACTGCGAAAGCTTGAGTTGGAACTAGAGCGTTTCTAATTTGGAAATAGAAAAAAGTTTTAAAATGTTTATTTTTTTGGTAAATTGTTTATTATTTAATTCAAAACTCGTTTTAAGTAAATAGGTGTAATTTTATTCGCAATTTCGTATCCAATTTTTTGTGCTTCACTTTTTATATAAATTTCTGTTGGTGCAAATCTATCTACTGCACTATCTACATACATACTTCGCTATCGTTTTCTTCAACTTCTTTATAGTCAAATTCAGGACTGTAGTGGCGAAATATGTTATGCAGGCAACACATATGTACATTAGACTGCAGCACCAAAAAAAGTTGCGGTTTTCCCGCCGGAATTACAAAATTTATTATATTTTAAGACGTCCACCAAAATATTTCGGAAAAATATTAAGATTTAAGCAAGCTGGACCGATTTGAAAATACCTCCAAAGATGGAGGCCCCTATTATGAGTTGCCTTCGATTTTCGACTGTGGTCGAAAGTGCTGAGCGAACGAATTTGTATTTGGTATTATGGCACTCATTCGATGAAGAATAGCGCTATTGTGAATTTCGCTCGTTTAGGTTGTTCACAATAGTAAATTTTTCACCGCTGAGAAGCTTTGTTTACAAATCGAGCAAACTAAATAGTGCGCTTATACATATTTATGTAAATTTGTTCTAATTAAAATGAAGTAAAAAAGAAAGCAAGTTTATAAAAACGTGGTAAAATGAGTACAACGAGTTCTGGTTCAACGATTCGTCAGAGGATGAGAGCTTAGTAAACTGGCCAGGAGTAGCAAATGTTTAAGAGAGTTTAAGTTTATTAGTCTTTCGAATATATTTTGATATAAAATATATTTAAGAAATTTGTCTACAGATTCATTAAAAAGTTCCGACCATCTAAAGAGGCGTTTGTGAGCCAAATCTATTTAAAATATTTTAAAACTATCAACAGCGCTACGATTTTGTTCTCAGAGATCGTGCCAACAGAGTATTGGGATTTTCTTTCACAAGTAAAACCAGCCTTTCGAGCTTGTGTTTAGTATTCAAGATGTTAGAACTGCATGAAATTAATAAAAATTGTTTAAAATTAATGTCTAGCCGCCAAAATGTAAGAACACATACAAAATCATACATTTTTCACAATTTTCTAACACTTCGCTACACCATCGAAAGCAAAATTCTGTTCGACAGAAAATTCGATACTCAACGAAAATTTCGACACGCTTGCATAGCTCATAATACGAATTTCACTTTCGATCTTCGATCTTCGATAGCCAGCGAAGATCGAAAATCGAATGCAGCTCATAATAAGGGCCGGAGTTTTTTATGAATAAAAATAGTTTCTTAAAGAACTTTTTAAAAAAAAGTCCCCTAAAATGACAAAACAGATTACGCTTGAAAAATCTGCATACAAATATTTAAAAATCTTTTCAACGGAATCGTAATAATGAGATTTTTGATGCTGTTTGTTTTACTTTTTTCAGAGATTGATTTACGATTACGATTACTACCTTTCTCTTTCATCTTTTGAATGAGCTTATTAGCAAAGAAATAAAAAGGGTGAGAAAATACCTTTCCAATGATACCTCACAAGTCTAAATCGGAAGAGTTTAGGTTCAGTTATTCAAGTTTTTCTTATGCCAATCTTTGAAAAAGGTAAAGAAAAACAGCATCAAAAATTTCATTATTACGATTCCGTTCAAAATTTTTATATATATTTTTTTTTTATTTTTATGTAAATTTGTTATGCTTAAACCATTTTCTCATTTGAGGGGATTTTTTTTTAAGAAACTATTTTTATTCATAAAAAACTCCATTTTTGGAGGTATTTTTGGTCCAGCTCGCTTAAATCTTAATATTTTTCCGAAATATTTTGGTGGACGTCTTAAAATATAATAAATTTTATAATGCCGATGGAAAAACAGTACCGATTTTTTTTGTATGGGGAGTGATGCAGTCTAATTTACATTAATTATTTTCACAACCTTTCATAGTTTGTGCTGAAAGGTTACTAATAAACACTAAAAACGACTTTTGAGAGATATATTGGCATGCTTTGCGCATTGTTTTTTAACGATTTAAATATATAATATATAATATTAAAGTTGGACTTTGGAGATATTGTTTTTATTAGATACTCATTTGNCCGATGGAAAAACAGTACCGATTTTTTTTGTATGGGGAGTGATGCAGTCTAATTTACATTAATTATTTTCACAACCTTTCATAGTTTGTGCTGAAAGGTTACTAATAAACACTAAAAACGACTTTTGAGAGATATATTGGCATGCTTTGCGCATTGTTTTTTAACGATTTAAATATATAATATATAATATTAAAGTTGGACTTTGGAGATATTGTTTTTATTAGATACTCATTTGAATTCATTAAATTCTAAGTTGTTACTTCTTTGCTTTGTGCATTGTTTTTTAACGATTTACCATTTCGTTTCTTCAAAAATTAAAACAATATTAAAGTTGGACTTTGGAGATATTGTTTTTATTAGATACTCATTTGAATTCATTAAATTCTAAGTTATTACTTCTTTGAGTAATAGTATTATAACATTATCATCAGTATGTAGTATGTGCTTTCTTTTTGTTGAATTTTTTTCATAGATCTAATGTAGAAAACAATCGCTTTGAGCCCGTTTGCACGTATCATAAATTTTACGCTAGCGGATCTTTTACAGATTTTTGTGACTTGTTCGGCGAAATCTTAGCTCGTAGGCAAGGATTTGAGAAGTACAAATATATTCACGTTTAAAACTACACATAACCGAAAACAGTTTATTATCATTTTGTTAAATTAGTAGGCGTTGTTGATTAATATGCAAACATATACATACGTAGGAAATATAGTGTGGCTTTTACTTGCATTTAACAGTTTATATGTATATAAAATATATAATTTTAAAAACATTACATACAATCAAACAAGAATAAGTGTACTCATAAAACACTATTGAGAATATAACAAGTAGTTTTCCGAATATAGCATTGTATGTATTTATGTAGTTACAATTATGTGGTAGTTATTATACATAATAAATATAATAAATCATTAGCAAATAAAAACGAAATTTTACCCACGCTGTAAATTCAATTCAGTACAAATAAAAATAATGATTTCCCATTAGAAGAATGGAACATAGGAGGTTAGGTCTTCTTCACATTCTCTTGCAAGTTTGCTATGCGTGAAATTTATAGTTTGTTTCTGTTATCTAATTAAATTTATCATTTAAACCGTGAATTTTTTATGATTGGGTTTCTTCTCGCTTTCTAATATTGGTTGTTGTTATTTGTTAGTTATTTTTTATAAACACTCTCAATTATTTCATTATCTACCATCCTGAAGGTCATATGTATATAGTTTAAGTTTATGTGTGAGAAAGAGTGTATACGCCTTTTAATTAAGGTCTTTAGTTGGTTTTTCTTAAGTTTTAATAATTGCAATGATAATATTAAATTGCTGTTGTTAATATTTTGAATAATTAAGTCATTTACTTGTCCTTGTCGGATTCGGCGATGGTTGGCTTCTGGCCAATCGGAATGGCGGCCTTGATTCTGGAAAACAATGCCAAATTAATTAATAAATTTCTAGTTGTAAATGCGAAAGCGCTAGTTGTAAATGTGAAAGCGCCAGTTGTAAATGAGAATAGTTCAGGGACCCGGACTGTTATAAAAAAGTACTTAAAAAAAGTTGACTTTGGACTTTTATTTTATTTGCAATAGAATGATCGGTCAACCCGGACTTTAATTTATTTAGTGCAGTTATAACAGTTAAACTTGGCCAAATATTTTTCAAGTCCGAAATAAAAGTCCTTTCCTAATAATAAACAAACCGTTTATCGATTTCAAACTAATTTGGTACCAAATGAAAGAGGACTGAAATAGCTTTCAAACAGAAATATCTAAAAGAAGATTGCAACCTATTTATATATATTCTTTATAATCTTATATGTATGTATAATAGGCGAAGCAATTTTTTGTCCAGGTCATCAGATCTGCACCGTTCGTTCGATTTTCAAAAATGAGGTATCAAATTAAAGGTCTTGGTCTGTAGAATGTGCAATAAAGTTTTATTTTTTCGAAAAGAGTTACAACCAGCAAAAAAATATAATTCAAATTATTTAATAATCAATGCCATTTTTTGAAGTTAGAACTTTTTTAGCGGTCTACAATAATTAGGAATTTGGTGAAATGAAAAACAGACACCATGCTAGAGACCCCTCTTCTGTCGGATACGTCTGGATGGGATTATATGAAATATTTTGTTACGTTTTTTAATGGGGTTGTCATCTGTTTTAAAAGTTAAGACTTTTGTTTTGGCCTAACAAATATTATTAAATTATAAAAAATATATAAATAGGTGGCAACCCTCGTTGATATATTTCTGTTTTAAAGCTATTTCAGTCCTCTTTCATTTGATACCAAACTTGTTTAATTTGGATAAGAACAAATCCAGGATTCTTGTCCAGGAGGCCCTGGGATCGAGGGAACATTGATAACTTTACGACACTATTCTGCCCCGGACTTTTATTACATCTAAACAAAAAATAACTGTCATTTTCAGTCCCTGGAATAGTCAGTTGAACAATTTAAAATGGGAATAGTCAATTGTAAATGAGGCTAGATGTACATGTAGGATCGTACAGCTGGTAAGATTTGCAAGGAAGAATGTGGCTCGTCAAACTACTCGAACGGGTGTAGAAAACCTGAAAAGGAGCAATTTCCATGCCTATTGTCGACCCGGGCTGGAAGGCGCTCCCCAGTATGGCTAGTAGGACCTGTGAGATTAGCGAGACGAGCAGAATGAATGAGGAAATGAGCTGGGTGAAAATGTTGAAAACTGTTGGAAAATGTTGGAAAATGTGGAAGATGTTGGATAACGTGAAGGAACGTTGACAATGTCGGAAATGTTGTAAAACACGGTGTAAATTTTGTGGGAACCGTGGAAAAGTGTAAAAGAAAAAAGCAAATCTTACTAGTTGTGCGGTCAAGCATGTGTATTCTGGTATGTTTAGTAGGTTGCGTGACTCGAGCTGGTCAAGCAAGTCTGGCTGGCGAGCACTACTCCAGTCTGCTCAGTGAGGTATGGCCCTTCGGGGAGTATCGCGAGGGCAGTGGTTTAATACCTAAATGCGGGTAGAACTCGCAAGGGTTCAATGTGGAGTTGCATTGCAACCGGATGCCGGGACACAAAGAACGGCAGAGATTTAGGTAGGTTTCAGCTTTACCAAGGTGGTAAGTGTGTCCGCCCCACACTGCCTCTGGTACTGAAGTGCTTGCATTTCAGGGCAATGATTAAGGCATGAATTGTTCCATGAGCTTAACGGGCTCTGTGGAGTTAAGACCGTATACCACGGCAGGTACCCACAATAAACCTGAACTACATCTGCCCATTGCTCCTGTTATGTAATGAAAAATTGTCAGAAACATTTTTATTGGATTGTTGTAATAAAAATTAATGCAAAGTGCTGAGTGGACGCATACTTTGTACAAACCATGAAATTACCAGAGATGCGAACTGTTTTTTCGGTCAGCGTATTAACTTGACCCAATGCACTTTTTCTTAGTTTCGATAGGTGATATCCAATGAAAGCTCGTATATACAACAAATAATTTCATATGTATACTATTAATAATTAACAATATAAGGATGTGATGGCCTCGCCTGTCGCATACGACTTATGTAATCCATTGGTGAATATAACGGTGGATCGAATACATTTTCTAATGTAGAGTGGACGGTGTCTACCTCCATACTTTTTACCTTTGTTAATTGTTGAATTCCAATTGCAAGCGATCAAATTAAATAGTAGAATCTATGTAGTGTAAGTGGTATGTGCATACATATGTACATATGTATGTATTTAGTTGGTTTATAATTATTTTTATATCTTATAATTATTTTTTATAATCAAAGCACGCTCATCTGCGATCAAAGACAGTTATAAGCAAGTTAGCGTATACCCGTTTTTTCAGAGTATTTCTAATACTGCGAGCACATAGCTGTTTTTGATCAGTTCTAAACCAAAAGAGATATAAGAAAACGGCAAATGCAGAAATGTGGGCAATAGATAGTGTTAATAAAATATGCAATAAAAAAAAAATTACCAAAATCACATAACTGTTTTTGTTGGCGCAGCGACGATCTGTTACCTATTGGATTATTTATGATAACGTTTTCGGAAGTCATTCAGCAAATTTTTTTTAACACTTAAATGTTTTTAAACACCGAAATTGATAGAATGTTGTCTGGCGGCGTCATGCGGCAAATGCTTATATAAAGTGACGAGCAAAACTGTAACATGGTGTAACACTTTTTAATTCACCCACCGCTATGTTTCCAAGTTCTAACGACTTTCATTCTTTTGTTGTATATTCTCGTTGGTACATCCCTACTCCCTCTCTCATAACGATTTGTATTTTAATACAACAACAATAAAAACCCAGCAGACAAAAATGTAAATTAAGGCAAATGTTACAGCTTTGCACTCACTCTCAGTTTTGCATTTTACAGTTATTTTTTACTTAGTTGGAAGTCNACGGTGTAGTACGCATTAAGCGTAAGGAACAGTATATGTTCATATTTCAACAAAATTTGCAAGATGTAGTCGAAAAATTAGAGTTTCTGCTGAAAAATCACCCAAAACATACTGCATATGTTCGCAAAGACTGGATACAAAATAAAAAATTTGCTAATTTGAAATGACCTCCACAATCCGCGCACATAAATCTCATCGAGAATTTGCGAAATCAACTAGAAGCACAGCTTATTAAGTATCCAAGTCCGTATAATCGAGTACATGATGTGTGAAAGCAAAGTAAGGATATATGGAGGATATACCTCCAGAAGTTTTACAGAGAAAAAAATAAGGTATGCCAAATCGCACCCAGAAACTAAAACAAGCAAAAGGGTACTGAACATTGTGTTAGTAGTTCTTTTTTCTCGTTAAAATAATTAAAAAGTTCTTAAAAATATATGAGTGCAAAACTGTAACATCTGCCTTAATTTACATTTTTGTGTGCTGGTTTTATTATTGTTATTGGATTGACTTCAAATCATTATGAGAGAGGAAGTACAGGTGTACCAATAATAACATACAACAAAAGTATGAAAGTCGTTAGAACTTGGAAAGATAGCGATGATTGACGTAAAAAGTGTTACACCATGTTACAGTTTTTCCCGTCACTGTATATCAAGACATCAAAGTGCCTACACACAAAAACTTGCAATCATACTGCTCGCCAAAATGACAGTTGGTAGGCCATCGGTGTTTGCCTGTGGAGTTTTGCGGTAAATTTTCCCCATGCATTTTGTTTGTGTAAAATTATTTTAGTATTTTAGTAATTTTTCTGGTAGTTAGTAAATTGCAATCAGGTGTACGATATTCATTCAATTTTGAATCCGCCCGCTGCCGAAAGGCATAACGCATTTGAGTAAATAAAATTCCTTCAATTTTTTGTTACAATTTATTTTTTTTTTATAGGAAAAAGCTACGAATCAGCTGTTGATAAACATACATAGTTTACCAGACTAAAGGTGTGGTTAAACGTGGCAATGCCAGCTCTTTTTCTACGCATTTTGCTGTCAAAATGCGAAATCGAAAGTCTACTTTCCCGCGTAAAGAGTCAGAAAGTCCTTTTTGCAGATTTGCAGAAATCACTTTCGGTAATAAAAATTGCAAGGTGTAACGCAACTGAAATTACGCAAATCGCTTTCAGGAAATAATTTCAACTTTCTCGTGCAATAAATGTTAAATTGTTTTGGAAAATGGTTTTTCATAAGAATTATTGGTTTTATTCCATATTGATGCTTTGATACTTAAATGAAAAAAGTGATACATATTCGATACATTTTAAGCCTCTTTTCTGCTACAATTTTTCACAAGCCCGCGGTCACACTGTTTGTGACAACGCCGTTGAATCAGCTGATAATTTTAAATAGTTAATTGTTTCCCTTTGAATATGTAAATTCTTGACTGTAGATGTAAAAATATGTATGTGTAATTTTGTCCCGGTTAAAGGCCAGTATGCAGCTCTCAAGAAAAGCAAAAACTCCATATAAAATGACGTACAAGAAATGGCTAAGAAATATTCTTGTGTAAAATTTTCTTGAGGCAGTACGCAGTTCTTAGGAAAATTTTTTCAATTTTTTTCTTGACCGTTTTCTTGAGAGCTGCATACCAGCCTTAAAATAACACGAAAGAGTCAAAAACGCGATTGCTATTTTATTGACGAATGGATTTTAAACAAGGAATTCAAGCCGTGGCTGCTTGAATAAGACCCCATTTTTGACCAACTTTAAACTACAATGAAAACTTGTATGTAATTACCTGAGCTTTGCACATAGTCTAGACCATGATAAAAAAAATAAGGTAGAACCGCTGAGAGGCACTTTTAAAATTCTTGACGTTTCCAAGCAATTTAATTTTTAAATTTACTCAAACACACATTTTCATTTTCAATCTCAAGCAACAACAATTTCGAACAATTTCAATTTCTTGTTTTCAATTTTATATGATCTTAAAATGCTGGAAGAGAACGGTTCTACCTTGCTA